ATTTAAATTTCATATACAGTTGTAATCTAATTCGTAGGTAATGAACACTTAGTGTATTTGTTGTACTGTAACCAGATACTTGTGATCGAATAGTTAAGACCGTTGAATGCTGGGAGTTCAATCCAGGTTCAGTCCCAAGCGAATGTGCTGGCTGTATGTTGGTTTCCGTGGTTTAATCCATGTGTAATCTTAATACGGACCTTAGAAAGCCCTCAGCAAAGGCATAATTCCCAATAGGCAAATGGCCCTCGTGTTGCTTTGTCACATTCAAAAATAACCAGTGAAACCAGGATGGAACAGGACTAAATGTGGAAGCACCAACACATCGCCATAGGCAAAACTGGTGTCGCTCCTTCACACTAACCGTCTTGAGAAGAACACCTCCATAGGGCGCACTTACACCACGCACCGGTGTTAATTGAGAAATTTTCATCGGGGCATACAGAACTTGGGGTACAAAGTATGGCCGGGAGATAAAGTTGCTGATGACACATGACAATGACATTAAAATACAATACCATACATTACAATTGGTGGTGAAATATAAATATAAGTATAGGTACACAAAATGAACATAAATAAAGAAATATAATTGAATGGAAAAACATTAAACTTTACTATCTTGGTTAAATTATTGTGATATTAATGTGATGTAATTTGGTACATATTTGAGAATTGCATTGTGGATGTCCTGGGTTTAAGTTGATAGGTTTGCTCAGTGTGCAGTGTCAGTACGGAGTTGCAGTTCATGGATGGTTCACAGTTCATTGACAGTTCATAAAAAGTTCATGGATTGAGTCAGTTCATAATTCTCAGTAACTGTTATTTGATCAAAGTCTATGTTTGTGAAAGTTCACTGGTAGTTCATAGGAGGTACATAATCCAAGTCACAGTTTATAGCTCGCAGTAACAGTCATTTGATTAAAGTCAAGGCATGAGAAAGTTCATAGTCTCATACATAGAGTTCACCAGTTCCAGTTATGCCATTTTTTAGTGTGCATAACGGTGGTCGTATTGTCTAGGTACTAAATCAGTGCTGACCTTGATATACTAAGATATTTCATTGGATTGACTAACCAGCATAACCAGTGTACAACCACATGTACAATTTTCACTGTTTGAAAGTCATTATTTTACTATAATGTTGCTATTTTTTTAATCTCGCCTCCACGGCTTAATCTCTGTCTAAGAATTTTGTAATGTTTCGCTTTAGTAAAGGTTCATTTACTTCAGTAAAGCATTTTCAACTTAAAAATTAGGAAGAATAAAAGAAAACGAAAAAGCACACCTATGAGAAAATCCATGCAGTAAAAATTCTGGAATTATACGACCTTGCGAAACATCAAAAGAAGTATATTTAGTTAAAAGGCAATTTAATTTCTTAAGGAAAAATCCCCTCCCGTACATACTTTTTGCACAAGTTGCGGTTTGTTCTATCATTTCAGGAAAACTTAAAATAGCTGCTGTTCGAAATAAGTGGCTGAATGATCCCTTTAGCTGCATTTGAAAAAGAAAGATATTGCTACTACAAAAACTAGAATATTGAATTATATTTTGAGGGGGGGAAAGGTTCCAAGTTATTATTGTGTTAAAAGCCATTTTCCAGCATAATCTCAAAAGCCCACTGGAGCCAGATGAACTCTTCTTCCATTACTACGTTATATGTAATTAATACTAATTACAGACTCTGCATTGCATATCCATCTATCTATCTCGTACTTATAAAAAGGGGGATTCTAACATTTATCTTCACTACATGCTGTTCCATATTATGTAAGCTGTCACTTCCCAAACTGCTTAAAAATTTTCAGAGAACCTAAGTAAACAGTTTTTAATAGATCTTTAAAATAATGGATTTATATAGATTTATTTTAATTATTTTGTTTACGTGACTAACTTGTTCTATCTGTAAGTTGATTCGGATCACCTTATTTACTGCTAAAGTTTTTCTGTGACTGCGGTATGCTGTTATTAAGTTGATTTCATTCTGCATTTAACTAGTAAAAGCAAAATACGGTTTAATTTTTATAACCTAAATTCAGTGCATTAACTGTATCTTTTGATGAATTATGCTTATGGAATTCAACAAAGAGACAGAAAGGAAGTGAAAATTCGCCGTTACTAGAACTGTTTGAGCAAAAAAAAAAAAAAAAAAAAAAAAAAAAACGAAATAAAAGATCCTAAGAGCGTTTGATAATAAATAGAATAAAAAAATTATTTCTTTGCTAATAGTCTTAATTCAGAACATCAAGCAAAACACATATTAGCCTCAAAACGTATAGCTTCAAAAAACAGCAGTTGTGAGTTGTTTTAAGTTCTTGAAATGCTCTCAGTTTAGATGATGCACAGAAAATTATCTCGAATAATGTTAATTCAATTAACTTTAATTAATTAAAAAGTAAAATCTTACATTGTAGAGACATTAGGATTTTTGGAAGCTGGCAAGATGAAAATTAGCAAAGCCTTCGCCGGGAATCGAACCGCGGACATCTCAATTACGCGCTGAGCGTGCGTGCAGACCTCTACACCACGAAGGCTCGCTAAGAAGGTGGGATAAATACCTTATATGCTCCCCCTTTTTAAAGGGCGACTGGGGATTTTAGGGAACCCAATCGCCAAATCCTGGGTGAGGAGAATCATCATCCAACACCCTTTTAGTTCGGGCACCACTGTAGACGAATTGGGATTTTTTGGAAGCTGTCAAGATGAAAAATTAGCAATGCCTTCGCCGGGAATCGAACCACAGACCTCTTAATTACGCGTTGAGCGTGCAGACCACTACACCACGAAGGCTCGCTGAGCAGGCGGGAGAAATGCCTTATAACATTACAATTTATAAACATATCATTTAAATAATCTTGCAAAGTTTTATTATACTGACTTTAAGTTCAAGCAAAACCCCGAAAAGCCCAGGAATGGCGGAGTGGTTATAATTGCTCAACATTGGTAGTTTGACGTGGGTTTAAAATCCAGAGATTGGCTGCATACGAGTTTTCGTATTTTCCTCATGTGTAACGTAAATGCAAGCAAGTCCCACTTAGAAAAGTTTTTACAAAGACAACCATCCCCTTGAGCAAGTAGTCACAGCGTGCTTGCCATAGTCAAATAAACGAAACCAAAATCAGGCAAAATAGTTCTCTGGTGCTTCACAGATCTCAAAATTAGAAACGAGCTTCAACTCGTATATTTCTGAAGGTTCCATACGAGGGTCCCATACTATACTACTAGCTATCTAAACTGCCGTACCATGAAGAACAAGCGATATCAGATTTACTGGACAAATAAGATAAGGCATGAGGATGAATTGTTTAAAATTGTGCCCACTTTCGTCTTGCGGAGCAAGAAAAAATCAATATTTTGTATTACCAGAAGATTCGAATACGACAGTCATGATGTTGTAGACAGAATCAAGATTCATCTGAAAAGTTAGTGTCTTTCCATTCCTTTATTTATATGCCTGGAATTCATCCGGATCATTGAAAGTGCATGAATCAGCGATATAGAGCCTAACGGTAATCGCAACAACGTACGCCTTGCAAAAATTCCCTTCCTCTACAGACAACGTCGTATGGTGCATGATGAAACAGAGTGCTGTGCAGCAGATCCTAATTCTTGATGTCTCTGTTTGGTTTGTCATTGCTATCCTAACAACATGCCTGTCCTCCAGCAATGTGACCATAGTGACGAAGTTGGTGAAATCATTCCCATCAATCAGTCCACGTTTCCTGCATCCACCGATTCCTTATTCGCATCATCGTGGCTTGATTTCATACAACACGTGCACTGCTTCCTGAATGCATAGTTTATATAAGCCATAATCTTTTTTTTTTTTTTTTTTTTTTTTGTCAACTTCAGAAACTTGTCTGAATAACTTCATTTTTTAAAAAACATAATTCTAATACTTATTTAAAGTATTAAGTACTTCTAGTATGCCTTCAATCGAGATAGTGGTTAGCGGCGTTTATTGCGGCACCGAAGGGCCCTTGTTCGATTCCCGGAGAAGGCTTGGATGCTTGTCAATGTATAGTGTCTCTGCAGCATGGGTTCACTCTAAATATGCAGCGAGCGGAAAGCCATCTCAAGAGATTGTTGGTAAGGAAAGAGGTGTGGGAGACCCTTGGACCCGCCACCAGGGGTGCTCTCCATCGAAATTGGGGGCGGAACTGAGCAAAGTCTTCCTGTCACCTGCATGGTGCTCAAAAGGCTTTTGACAACGACAGGCGCTATCGTGCACTCCTCGCCACGATAAATTCCGCGGGCCTTATGTTATTTCCAGACAATTGATTATAAGTTACAACACAATAACATTACTAGTATTCCTAGTATTTACTTAAAGTTTCTCTCTTTTTATAATACTTCTAGATGATGGTTCTGGTGCACATGTCTGCAAATGCGCAGCAATTCTAATCATTTGCATGCCATATCGAGGTCTACTGATGGTGAAAATTTCAAGCTCATTAGAAGTTCCCTTCATAATGCACATTTTGAATGACAAAGAGTGTTCATAAATTATTCGATGTATTAAAACTTCTCATGAATCAAATCATTTATATGCATTAACGAAGCTAAATAAATAAAACTTCCAAAATTTCATTAAACTAACTTTACGTCTAAGCAGACATGTCGACTAAAAATTATCTGATGATTCACACTGCAATGATTAATAATCAAGAATGAAATTTCTATAAAAGAAGTGAATTATTACAGTAATATTCATATATCAATCTGTATGAAATATTTTAGTTTTCTAATGCATTTCCCTAATTAGAAATTTCCATTTACTTAAAAATAATTTTGATCCAGTTCACGTAAAAAACCTCTTAGCATTGCTATGCAGACTGAAGCTATAAAAAAGGGAAATATTTTCTCTAAAATTGAATTATATTTCATCTAAAATTCATAATTATTTCGTTTACTTCAAAATGCGAAGAAGTTAAACTAATAATAGAATGTTATGAATGGGGTGCCGTAAGGGATGAGTAAGGAAAACTATACGGTACAAAACAGTTCTTTTGGGAATGTATGTAAATAGTTAAGCATTGTGTTCTACAAAACTACAACGCACGAAGAAAATCCTTCGCTTAGTATGTAATTTTTATTATCCGTTTCTTGTGGCCGGTGTTCTAACCGAAGGAGTAAGTAATGTTTACGTTCTGTTTTTAAGCTATAGGTGAATTTTCGAGAAATATGTTGACTTTTGATATAGTTTTTCTCCTTTTTGGATAACTCGAAATTTTTATATACATTACTTTCTGGTCGAAAACGAGGCCATTATAAGTTTGTAAAATGTCTTTTTTTAATTCAAAAGGAAGGAACTCTAAATAAATATTGAATTCAAATACTGTGCCTTAGCTGAGAAACCTCTCTTAAGAAATATAGCTCATTGAATTTAATTATCCTAGAACAGGATTAATGAACTTGGGATATTTAGAAGTTATTAATCTTATTACCTCGCAGAGCATCGGAAGGTTTGCAAAGTCCACGTAGTGGCGAATTTTGATAACTCTGTGTAGTGGAGATCATTGCCGAATAACAATTACGCTGTATATGAAAACAAAATTTATGTTAAATTTATGTTGAAAATTATGTTAAACTTATGCAGTTAAATTTGTTATTCTCGCATATTGGTTAAAGTAAAAGCATAAACTTTCACAGATACGATTTTTTTTATATTCTTTACCCCTTTTCCAGGTCTTCGCTTGCAATTTAAACATACGATCTATTAAACAAAAGCTTTAAAACTATTCAGTTAACCTGCATTTAATAACTGATCGTGATCCTCCCAAATTAGCTAAACCACCTTGCATGACACATGGTGACACCTTTGTGATATATCAAGTGAAAGTTTGTTTTGAGTTTTTTCACTCCGATACAGAAGTTACAAAGAAGCATTTAGAAAGGGGTATTACTTTTATTACTGTAAACTGTTTATTTTGTAAATTGTGGTATAGATAATCTAGACTAAATGGCAAAGTATATTAAAAACCAGTTTTTCGACATTAACTAGTTCAAAAATTTTATACTTTGAATACTGCAGCAGCAAATGTACAGATTGTTTACAAGAACGTAACAAAGTAGAATTTCGATAAGGAAATTATAACTGCATTTGAGTTTACCATTACAAGGTTTTACAGAACTTCTACAGGAACTTTGGAAAGCACGTTTTTCGGGGAGCAGGTTGTTGTAAGCTTATATACAGAAATATACAGAAAAAGTCGAAACTACAGCAATGCTATAAGCAAACTGAAAAACGCATTATTTCTGCAATGAAATTATAGAATTGTTAAAGTTCAATAGACAGTGCAATTGAAATTATTTCAGCGGTTCCGAAGCGCATGTTGCTTTTGAAATTCTTGCTGTATATTCATTGTATTTCTTGACTCTTATTTTAAGTCTTTTGAAACGTGAAGCTGCGCATTTTTCTTCTTTAGAGAATTTTTTATTGATGAGAAATATTTGATCTTTTTAGTATCTGTTTAGACATTTTTTACAGTACACATGCACACTTGAACTAGTAAATATACTGTAAATGAAAAAAGTATGCTGCAAAATGTCAGTAAATTTTTAAGTAAATTGCTATTTTTATTCCCACAGCACTTTGTGAAAATAGGAGCTTGACTTAATAACTTCCCCTCCCTTGATATAACATTTTTCGCACATTTGTTTATAGGTTATCTTAAAATGTTGCATCAAACAACCGTATTTTCAAATGTATACTTTCTTATTTCTTATGTATATATACCATTGTTCACGGGTGAAAATTCTATTGCTGCATGTTTTTAGTTTTTGACCTTCAAACGTTTTTAGATTAACTAAAGTAAATATTAAATTTTCTTATGTATAGATACATTTCTGTGGTTATAGTATTGAAATATTCTCCCAGCCGCAAAAACCAGTAACCATAAAATTCTGCCTTTTCCACACATGATTATTTTGTACAAATAAATCTCTAAGCTCGTGTATTAGGAATCCTCCTGCAACATAGAGGCATCTTGGACTTCTAAAAATTCAAAATTCCTTCGTGCTGAAACTTTAAGAATAAAGTCAAACCGAATATTTTTTCATGCTACAAAGTTTAAGGTACTGTTAAACTTGATTCCCATCTATCTCTAAATGTAAAGAAAGCGTAAGAAATTATGCTGCATAGAGGCAAAGTAATTTGCATTCTAGACCTTAATAATTTCTAAAATAATTGTTGATCTTAAATCTTAATCTCTCACGAATGTTACTACCAATAGGTATGTGTTTGGATTTCTTGAGTTTCTGTAAAATTTCAGGTGAAATATTAAATTTTAAATGAACTTCCCTATTTTCATTTTTAGGTATGACTAAATTGTGCCAACGAGCCCTTTTGGCTCTCGTGATTTTCGGTCTGGTGAAAGAACAGGAAGCAACTGCCTCGCTGTTTTTCCAGGCCATCACGTCAGCTTTGGCAACCATACCCTTTAGTGCAGGTCCTATAACAACAGGCCTTGTTGGAGCAAAATTAGCCATAGGAGCTAAACTTCTGTTTTATCTAGGGTATTTTGGCCAAGGCCGATCAAAACCTAAGCCGCCGCCCATGCGGCCCCCAAAAAATACTTTTTCTAAACCAGGTGGCGGTGGTGGATTTCCAGCACCAGGAGGCTCTCAGTTTGGTGGTGGATTGCCTCTGCCTTATGCTTTATCTGGAGCAGGGGGGTTTCCCCCTCAGCAGCCTGGAGGGGGTTTAGGACCTTATGGAGTATTTCCCCCTCAGCAGCCTGGAGGTGGACTAGGAAATTATGGAGGATTTCCCCCTCAGCAGCCTGGAGGTGGACAAGGACCTTATGGAGGATTTGATCCGGCTGAACTTTTTCAAGCATTAGCGGCTCAAGGAATTGATCCAAATTTAGCTATGCAAGCAATGAACAGGGAAGGAGGAGGATTCGGTGGAGATGCATCAAGTTTTGAACAAACCTTACCACAAGTTGAGTATTCTATTTTAATTACTTAGTGTGTTTTTATGCGAATGAATGAGAATCGATTGATGCATTGAACTAACAGAATTGGTCTTTCAATATTTCTGAATGCGTAACGCAAACTCCCAGTATAACAGTTAGCACTTGTCATAAGTTTCAAGTTATTTTGTATTGCACACATCTGGGCTACTATTTGGGTGAAAAATTTAAAATTTGTTTCAGCGATAAATTTTTACTATAAAGGACATTGACGAAGCTTCTGCTTTGCCAAATTTCTTAACATGGGAAGCTGAAAATTAAAAATCTGTAAACTTTTTCATTTACTTTGATATCTCTAGAAATCAAATCTACAAACAAACAAAAATAAACTTATTAACAAAAGATGAACTACACGTGGGCGTTACAAAAGGGAATACCGAAAATTACACTTGCAATCTCATTTTTTGTTTAACAAAATATTAATATAGGGGAACAGAATTTGTAAAATTTTAGCTTTATAGAATAAGCGATTAACTCTGAAAGATGGCTGTTCAGTGTTAAACATTGACCATAATTCTAAGCCTTGTTAACGTAAATCCATACTTTACCTCTCGATGAATTAACATTAAATACATACATTGTCTTTAGTCTACCAGTATTCAGACTGTATATAGTCAATGGTACTAAATACGTAGAAGTGTAGTTGTGCAACAGTAACTTATGCCTTCGAGCTACCTTTCAAAATTGAAAAGATAACTAATAATTTTAACATTAACTATATTTTACATAGTTTCCTAATACAGTTATCTTCATAGGTGGGGGAGGATTTAATCAGTTTCCGCCTAATGCTGGTGTTGGGAATGGAGGTGGTGGGTTCGGAAGTATGCCTCACGATGTTTCAAATAGTCTACCTCCGTCGCCAGGTCTCGATACTCCTGCAGCCGATGGAGGAGCTGGATCCGAAGAGGATATCGAGAGTTTCTTTACTTTCCTTCGTGATATGGATGATAATACTTGTATTTCCAGGCTGATGTGTGACATTGGCGCAGATCCTTCCTTTTTGGGAGACTTCTCGGAGAATATTCACGGAATTATCAGGTAATAATTTTTATTTTAAAGTTAAATCTGGAATTCTGAAATTAGTCTTGCTTCAGAAGTATCAATAATTCATTATAGTTGCATCATGTACCTGTAACAATCACTTTGATGTCGTCAGTATAGTGTTAAAGTATCACGAGATTAATACATTTAACTTTTCAATTTAGATTTAAGGAGTACAAATTTAATTCATCTAAAGTCAAATTTCCTAACTATGCAATTAAGCTTTAAGTGCTTCATATTTAGCGTTTTTCTTAATTTTGTACATAAAATTTAAAATACTTGAATAAATCCGGAAACAATAGATTTCGAACACTAAAGTTGACAGTCAATTTATAAATTCAACTAAAGGAAAGCTAACAAATTTCGAAGCACATGACTTGAAAAATTCAAAATTTTCTTTAATTCATTTTAATTAACGACTTTCGGTAATTCAGACTAGTTGAAATTTAGGAGCGCTATGTCACCTTCTTCAGAACTGGTTCTACATCATACAGAAAGTGAGAAACTTGTTGAGGTTGCAACCTTTCTCTTTTCGAAAGTAAATATTTAACCTAAACTACTTTTGTCATCAAGGTCTTAAGTTATCTAAAAATGTTAGATAAATTGTAAACACTTGGGCTCAAACGAGGAGGCCAAGTATTGGAGGACTAATTTTTTAAAATTTTAAATATTAATGTAGGATCACCTTCCGTGTCTTCTAGATATGGCTTTTTCAAGAATTTGAGGTATGCTTTTATTTGCCATTCTGTGGTGAGTCTGAGATTTTGTCTTGTAAATGATTCTAAGTATGTTGGAATAAAACTGAGGTATGCATAGACAGTTCTACAAAGTCCATAATTGCAAATAAGAGCATTATGCTTGGGATCTTCGGCCTTGCAATGCTCTATTGCGACAAAATGCCTATTTTGTCCTTCAAATTTTTTTAAAAGATTGAAATGCGTAAATTTAAAATTTTACAATCGCCAAAATGTAGACATTAAATGCCGCAGATGAAGCCTCAGATCATCTGGCCACCTCCATGTTTTACTGAAGGAGTAAGATGGTCTGAAGTTCAGTATTGGCGTTTCACTTCACTTTCTCCTTTTTATCACTCGCGAATATATGCTTTAATCTACAAATATAACCAAAATTCTTAAATTCTGGTGAATTCATACCTTCAGTTCGCTTTATCATGAAATCCCTTCCTTCCAGTTATTCGGTAATGAAAGTTAATTTTAAAACATTTCTAAACGGATTCTGTTACTAGGTGTACTGAATATTCGTTGGACTTGAGTTAATTTTCCTGCTATTTTTCTTTGCATTTTGTTAAACTCCTTTGAAGCTTTGATGGTTTTTCAGACATCTTACTCGATAGCTCGGAATTTTAAGAGATTTCTTTACTATCCAGTAGATAAGCTATTCTCAAATGTTCAAGATTGCAATGAAAAATTGAATTTTCTCATGACAAAAGAATCTTTTTCGAACTATGTCAGAAAAGCGGTTGACTTTGAACCTTGCTGTATAAGGTTCTTTTTAAAACAGAGTACACCTTGGCGACATTTTCTCAAGCTGATTCGCCAAGGACAAGAGCAGTTTTCAAAATGGTATCTCGCTGCAAATTCCTGAAGAAGCAACAAGTCAATAAAGTTCTAGTAAAAGGTAAAAAAAATCAAATTTAACTTGGTTTTCTGTTCTACCATATATGGTTTCGAAATAATTTTGATGTACCTTGTAATCTAAAAATGCTGTATTACTGTCATGAATTATGATCTACAAAATTTTTACCACCGTTGTTAATTAAGCATTCATTCTTTAAAGAAATTAATCCTTCTCAAATCGGCCCAGCGGTAAAGACGCTGAACACTGTTAGTTCGGTCCGAGGTTCGAATCCCGTGAACGGGCTGGCTGCATGGGTGTTTTCGTGGTTTTCTCCCTGAGTAACGTGTATACGGGTCAGTTTCCCTTAAAGTCCTTCACGAAGGCATCCCTCCCTTTAGGCAGATAGCCCTCGTGTGCTTTGCCATAACTGAATAATCCAATCCTTCTCAAATCGACCATCCTAACACATTCAAGAACGTTTCTCATGCTTTAATTTCGCAAATTAAGAAAATCTTAAAATTCAACTAACCGAACTGAATTTAATTAACCAAACCGTATTAAATTTCCGAATGCTAGTGGAACAATGTTTCGAAGAAGTCTTAGATCTTTCACTAGGGAAGATGCATGCTTGTTTTATACGCATGCAAACTTGTAAACTGAAAAATCTGAAATTTAACTTTTAAAGTCCATGCTTAAACTTTAAGCGTCAGTATGAATTGATATAAGCATGTGGAGGAGGGGGAAAATTAAATTTTGGATATAAGAGCATGGCTTAAGGGGAGTTGGAACCCCAAAATCTTCAAAAAATTAAGATTTCGGATTTTTGAATTTTCATTCTCTACACTTTTCTTTCTAAAAATACCATTCTTTAATCTCTATGAAAATTATAACTGTAAAATCTAGTTTTAATTTGTTGTCTACTGCTTTGATAAATAGAGGATTTTTACATAAACTCGTTTTTCTCCAAACGTGGTTTTTTTATACTCGATGTACCTTTTCTCAGGAACTACTGTTCACAGGTATCAACTTTTTATGGCTTAGGTTCCCTAATATTTACTGAAAAGAGCTTTTTGTAATAAACTTGGGAAAATTTTTTGTGTGAGAAAAGTGCTAAATTTTATTATGCCTAACAAAACATCCTGTAATTTACTCTAAAATTCAAAATGTTTCAAAAGCTTATTTCAGTATAATCAGATAGGTATACTTTAATTGCAGAAAAAATTTCAAACTTGTATCTACAGCAGATTTTGAGAAAAGGTACGTCGAAAATGGCCAATTTAACATTGTCGGTGTAGAGGTTTCTGATACCCCTTAAAAGTTGCCATAATAACTTAAACATCGGAAATTAATTTAAAGCCAGCCGTATTTGGTATTTTGTCTCAATTTTATTTCTAAATTCAAGGAGTACCCTACCCACCAGCTGTCGAAAGAGTCCCTGAACACGGGTAGTTCTGCCCGAGGTTCGAATCCCGCGAACAGGCTGGTTGCATGGGCGTTTTCGTGGTGTTCCCCATATGTAACGTGTCAATACGAGCCGGTTTCCCTTACAAAGTCCTCCACGAACGCATCCCTCCCTTCCGTGTAGTGCTTTAGGGTGAATAAGTAAGATAATAAAAATAGAAGTACCCTAATCTAAGCGCATTGTATCTTTTTTAGGATTAAAATCTTGTTCTCATAAGTGTTTTAACAAGTCTTTCAAGAAATTCGAATTAAGACTCTTAACATTTGTACCATAGCGCGCCAATGCTATTTTATCTTAATTTCGCATTTAAAGACTCGATGTTTAAAATACTTTATATATTTAATATTTCCATCATGCATGTAGCATTGTATTTAGACGCAAAGTTCTAGAAAAATCAGTTTGGGAATAAGTTGGAAGTTCCGCATGCCCCTAATACATGTTTGAGTTACCAAGTAAAAACTGCTTTAGTGCATCTGTTGCCTCGAAAATGAAGATTTTAAGGTTAGTTGATATATTTAACTTACCTAATTAAGTAACTTGAACTAACAAAGATTTTAGTATCGAGAATTTAAGCCATAAAAGTGGGAAAAGTATGAAATTTTGCTGAGATATGCAGGATTCTCGGTTATATTAGAATGTTAAATAAAGCCGAGGCTATACATGGCCTTTCTAGCAATTACTTACCTTCAGTTTCTGTATAATCAGTTTCTGTAATAGAAATCCAGTGATCTAGATTTGATATCTGTTTTTTCTCCAGTAAAGAGGAAAATAAGCTTATTTACTTCTCGGTAATTTCCATTCATTGAGTTACTACTATGCATAGGAAGTCATAATGTGCACGGAAGTCTTAACCGGCCTTTTCTCCAACCATTGGTCGTAGACATACTTCCAAATACAAAAGTGTTTCAGATAATGTTAAATTTCATCTTTGGGTGTTCCTAAATGTTTTGTAAAAAATATGGAGCAAGATAAAGGAAACATTTCAGACGAGCCCTCGTCCCTAGTTACGAGGGTGAATCTTTAGATTATGGTAACTTGGCGATTTTTTGGCGAAACTTTGGCGACCAACCCTGCTACAGCAACCTGTTACTTTTTTGGACGCCATTTTGTTTTCACGAAGTAAAGGCATGTATTTTTAACTACATTTTTCCAACAATCTGCTAGCCGAATTACGCTTTTGCTAGAACTTTTATGGAACGAAAGTGCTTAATTATGACGAAGATTAGGTGCGAAATTGGGAGAAAGTGTAGAATCGCCCACTGCTTGCCGCGTTTTTAAGAATTGCATATACACGGTATAAATGTACACGTCGACCTATTTTCACTTTTAAAAAAATCCCAGAATTGCACAAAAATGGCATTGCGCACACTCTTGACTTTATCCATGTACACATCAACCTATTTTTCACTTTAAAAGTCAAAGAAAGTTGACAAAAAAACCAATTCTTACTCTTGTAAAAAGCGCCAAACAAATAAGTGGGCGCTTCTGCACTTTAGCAGCGAAATTGTTTAAGTGCTTATTAGCTAAAATCCCCATTGAAATTTTCCGGAAAATGTAACATTACATGTCTCATGATTTCTCATTTCTGAGACAAAATCTGCAATTCGAACTGTGTACTTCTCAGATTATTGCTAAAGTCCTAGCTAGCCTAGCTGGTAACCTTTATAGCCTTACCAAAATGTCACCAAACTACCTGTTACCATATTCTAAAGATTAGCCGTTACGAGATGAACTCGCAAAAAAGTGTTACCTCCTGTACAACAATTTAACTAAGCTATTTAGACATCATTTTTAGCATATCTTGATGGATTACTTAATAAAATTGGAATAATTTAAGCAAATTTTCCTTTATCTTGCTCCATATTTACGAGATTTACTAGGGTGTAATCTTAAAATTCATAATATATCGAAACATGCAATTGGTAAAAATTTTCGCGTGTAATTGGCGAGTTTCCAGATGCTATTTTTAATATTAGCATGAAGTTTACTCGTTTAGAATCATAAGTTTAAAATTCATTGGGCTAGAAACATTTTTAAATTTATGCAAGTGATATATCTCAATTATAAAACCTCCCAACGTTTTCAAGAATATGAATTCTATAAGATTGTTTGTATAAGATTTGCTCTTCTGAAAATTTAATATTGATCAATATTTTAAACTTGTATAGTAATAATCTTCGTCGCTTTATCTATTAACATCACAAACTTTTCTGAGCTAGTTTTTTTAACTTGCGTCCAAATGGAGACATTTCCTGACTCCTTAACTTGTGTATGGTTCCTAAATGGTTTGCTAATTTAAAACTGGATATCTATTAAACTTTGTCATACGGAAGTTAAATTTTTGTTTAATTTTGCGTCAAATTTACCTTGGATTAGTATGGGAACTGAGAGGATGCAAAAGATAATTTTTAAATTTAGTTTGCCCGCTCTAAAAACTACCATCATTTGAGTAAAGGTCTGTCGCATAAAAACTTTTAAACACGGATTAAGATGAACAGAAGTGAGTTATGATTTGTTTTTAAAAATATTTCTTTAATTTTAGTAAGGTAAACTCTGTTTAGCTGCCAACTTAAAGTAATTGTTGGTTGAAAGCAGCTTGGATGAAATTCAAGTTCTCAGTTTTGCCACTAATTCTATAGAAATAAAATTGCCTTACTCTTTGTTGGTATCCTTTTCAGCCTCGACAAGAAACGGACGGTTATTAATACACAAATTCATTCAACCTCTATAGTGTACAGACCTTAATGTATACAATATATACCTCGCGTGTTTCATGAGGATTTTCGAGTTTGTTTGGTATCTATATCAAGGAGCATTTTGCCGTTGCAGCAAATTCCATCTTAATATCCACCGCTTGTTTTCTTGTTTTTGTTAATTTGATTACGCCAAAGTACATGAGGGCTATCTAAGGGGTGGATACCTTCGTGGAGGGTTTTCTAAAGGAAACTGGCTGGTATACCTTACCCGTGGGGGGGGGAACACGATGCAGCCAGGCAGTTCGCCGGGGTTCAAATCCCGGACGGAACTACCGGTGTTCAGCGATATAACCGCTCGAGAATTGGCGAGCCGCTTTTCCTATTTTAAGAACAGGGAATCGTCAATATCGGCGATTTTATCTGGTCCTATTTTATTGAATGTGAATGGTTTAGGAATTAATAGACATTGAATGGATTGCTTGTGTGAAACTTCGGTTTCTCGCCAAGGCCGCTAAAACACGAGTTCACAAGTGTTTCTTTAAATACAAATGCTATTTATTTTACAGTAAATACGTACTTGGTCTACATACAGACAAATCATTTAACTGGGTTTCTTGAATAATCGCTTTCAGTTAGTCCGATATTCGGAGTCGTTTTCATTAGTTGCATTAATATGTAGAATGTTGAAATAGTTTAATAAACCAAAATTTTTAAATTTCAGCTCTCTAGAAGTTCTGCCATCCAGTGGTGCTTACCAGTATATTTCCATAATGGAAGCAGGAAAGCGAGAAGGTGGCTGCTCGGGGAGATTCCCTCAATGTGGTGATGCTGCTTATGAAATCGTGAAAAACGTAGCACCATCTGTGGGTGTTCCTCAAAACATTAATTCGGATATGGTTAATCAATTGTAATGGGCATCTTGCATATTTATAACTCGTATTTAAAAACTGCCTTTTTAAAATAAACTACCAAATATCTCGAATCTTGCTTTATTTCTTTGTTAAAATTAATTCTTCACTTGCTGATGCTGTAGTTTTGATTTTCAGCTCTACCCAAACAATGGAATGAGGAAGTGTATCTAACTGTTGAAAGTATACAAGTTTGTATGAAGTGATTCCCCTCATCCTGAAGAGCGATATCTTATGTACAACTTACTATATTTTCAAGATTAAATGCATGTAAGATTACTTGAACGTATACCATGAAGTTTTACTTCTGCAGACCTAAACAGAAGCCAGATTTTAATACTTGTTAGCTTCTCTTCTACTTCAAAAATGGAAGTTGTGTATACTTAACATTTAATTGGAATTCTATGAAACGAAACATCGAATTATTGAAACTTAATTAGGGTTCTAACAATCTGTGTTGGAAACTGTCTGCTTTGCCAGGCGTGGAAGTGAATGATTCCCAATTCAAGATTTTAACACTAGCCTTATTCTAGTCTTCCCGAACTGAGAAAGTAGCATTTCCAAGTTCATTTTTACTCTAATAAGTAATGGTAGAATTTGGATAATTAAATGAAACTTGGGTATATTACTTTATAATAGTTTATTTTTTCAAAATTGCCTATACATTATATTATAGAATCCAGTGCCATAAAGCTTTGAAATAAGACTGCTGGATAGCTCAGCTTCTACCGCAGCACGTTTCTTGAAGTTCCTTATGTCCACGGAGTTTTAAAACTCGTCAGTAGAAGTTTTAAAACTCAATCAAAAGAATGGAGTTAACTCCTCTGAACTAAACCCGTTGAGAATTTTAACTATGGTCTAGTTTTCTATAGATATGACTTACCACTTTAATTTCAGCTCATCTTGTACAATTAGGAACGTACAACTCGGTTGTTACACCCCTGAAAAAACTGCTTTGGGTAACTAATCATTTTCGTATTCGCTTTTCCTTTATTACGCCTGTTTTTCAAAGCCACAACTGTATCTCGGAAACTTTCTAAATATTCTGAAAGGAAGCGTCATTTCTCTGCTTAGCATTTTAAGATAATTCTATATAGCATGTCGCCTTTTAAACCGGTTAACAATACAAACGTTTCAGTTTACTTTAAAAATCTATTGCAAATTTACTGAAGAACCTTGAAATAACTCGTGCATGAAAATACGCTTATTCTAGGAATATTACTGTAATTAGTTCAGCGAAAATTCAGCCTAGAATAATCTCATTTTTAACCTTGATTTTATGTATGAAAAATAATCTTAATCAGATGAGCTAATATTATGTATGTTACCGTGAAGGACAAAAATCTGGAGAATGTCAACATTCAAACATGATTGTTTGGTGCATATTCTAAATAGTTGCTAAATATCCTCATTTCTCATATAACAGGCAAATGTCTGCATTCACCATGCCCTGATCCTGAATAAAAATATCAAGTTTTTAAATCTTACGTTATTAAAATATGATATATGTAAAGATAGGAGAAAGCTTAAGTAACAGCACAGGTAAATAAATTATTGAACTTGAAACCAAGAGTACATTCTAAATGAAGAAAATAACGTTAATAAACTTGCGTGTTTCACGTTATACTGTTGAATTTACTGCAGCAACTTGCGCTGTCATGACACTTTTGAATCGCACAAGTCTCCTGCTTTCACAACGCCCGTCTTCGCGGCTTCTCATTTCGACCTCCACCAGATCATTTCTCTGCTTATCGATATACACCGGTGATGATCCGAATGTATAACAATATAGCAGAATAATTGGTCTTTCACACCGACGTATTTGGTATGTGCTGGCAATCACCGGAGAATAATGTTCATACAGTTTCTGCACTTTGAGCATGAATGTGCCAAGATTTTTTAATCATAATGTACAATTATTAATTTTTATTTCATGCACTAGACGTTTTCAGTTTCTTCCTAGATATTTATGTACTGTAATGTATGCTGTAATTTTAGAATATATTGTACTTACACTATATTGTCAAATTCATATATCAAATATTTTAGAATATATTGTCAAATTCAGATACGGTTTTTCATTAATGAAAATACACGAGAAGTAATGTTTAATCTTAAAAATCCATATTTGACCTCTCAGTAGCTTTTTTTATATCAATTACTATATGTATATTATATACATTGTAATAGGAACTATTTTCTAACCCCTGTCTATGGACTAATAGGGCATGGGCCAGAGCCATAGAAGGTAGTTTCCTAAGTGCACTAACCGATAATACTGTAATTGATTATGAAGAAAACTACAAATGTTTGCAAAAGTATTTTACCACTCTAATTTATACTTAAATACTTCTAATATAATGTGCATTGTAAACATAACAATTAATATTCATTCATTAAACTTCTGTACCATTGAAAAGTCTCTGTGAAAATTGTATGTTAGATAAAGAATATGAAAAATTATATCTAATTTGTAATAACCCTTTAAGTCTCCTTTCTAATTGGTTATTCCCTTTTCTATGCTAAAAATAGTAAAATGCTTATGATAACTTATCTGAACTGCTTCTTTTCAAAATTAATCATTGTTATTCGATTCTCAAGAAAAATAAAGTAGAACCATAAGTTTACTATTCTTAATTTGAAAATTCTAATCTACATATTCTTCCTTTTTTTTTTTTTTTTTTTTTTTTTGCGATATACTGACATGTAATCTGACACTACTTTTTCTTCAACTATCTGTTAAATATGTCGCAAGTACAAATGTAATTGAAGAATAGGCATGAGTTTTATGCAAATCGAGAGGTATTTTTTTTCATTCAAGAACCTGCTATCAAATACGAAGTATTCAACAGCTATGACTGCCACTACATCTTCAAGCACCAGCTGCTTCTTCATTCTTTATGTCGCCAGAAAAAAATGTTTCATTGCATATACAACATCAAAAAGTATGTGGCACGTAGAAAAGAAACTGTATAATCTAGTTTACATTTTACCATAAAGGAATTTTCGCAAGTCAATTTTGATAATATAGAAAAGACAAAATTTTAAAATTATTCTTATTTTTATTTGTCAAGTACTAAGTATTCTTCACGAAATTCCATTTCTCAGCACACCATCAAATTCAATTTATTCAATATCCAAATAAAATTCAGTATGTCACAGAAAACACACAAGAACATTTTCATGTCTAGCAATCGCAACTTGATTTCAACTGTCACTAATTTAATAAAAGAAAATACAAGTACAGTTTCCTATGGAGAAAAGAACAGTTAAAGTAAAGATAAAATTTTAAATATACCTTAAAACTTCAATTATATATAATTATTTTGTTTTCAATAAAAATAGAAGTATGTAAATGAAATAAACATCTGTCAGACTTTCAAGCATATCTGTTACAATTTTAAAATCGAATGGGATCAAAAGTATGATATATGATTGATCAAATGTGTCAAATAAAATTAATTCGCATTCAATAGCTCCAAGCACAGCTCCTTACTGCACTTGTCGAAAAAATTTACATTTTAACAGCAACTTGTAATTGCCACTTTAATCAGTACATATAAAATTTTAATCTTTTGCAATATCTGTTGCTGGTGTAAACTGCCGATATACAGGACAATTTTGTTTATAAAAGCCGGGGTTTGCCATTTATTACGATAATACCATCAGGGCTGAATCCAAGCCAAGGAGCTGTTAGATTTACTATCAATCCTGATAGCTTAATAAAATGCCTTATCTTTGCTTCATACACATTTCTAGCAATGCCTTTTACATTTGCTCCATGCTCAGTTGCTTTATTACCGTGAAGCATGCTGTTGTAGATATGTCATTAGGTTATTTGTAAACCTAATGACATATCTACAACAGTCATTAGGTTATTTGTAAAGCAGGAGTGAAGAAGGATGAGCAATTCCTTGCCGGGAATCGAACCACGGACCTCTGGAATACGTGCTCAGCCTGCTGACCACTACACTACGAAGACATCCTGAGAAGGTGGGAGAAATACCTTGTATACTCCCACTTTTAAAGGGCGACTGGGGTTTTTAGGGGACTCAGTCGCCAAATCCTGGGTGTGGAGCATCATCATCCTCAACCCTTTTAGTTCGAGCGCCACTGTAGAGTCATTGGGTTATTTTTAAAGCAGGAGTGATTAAAAATGAGCAATGCCCTCGCCGGGAATCGAACCACGGACCTCTGGAACACGCGCCCAGACTGCTGACCAATACACTACGAAGGCATGCTAAGAAGGCGGAAAAAGTATTTTAATTATTAATTTATTAAATTATTCAACTTTTTCTCCCAGATGGGGAATTTGTTCTTAGAGTATGTAAATAGAGAATAACGGTTACTTCCTTTGAACAATTCTCTCCCGTCTCCATACATCGTTGTTCTGACTGTTTCTTGAGCTAATGACAGAGCTTTATCAGTTTTAATTTCAGTTATGCAATCCGCTGCTAAATCATCTTCAAGCTCCGATGATAAACAATAATATAGTATTTGAATACTTTTTTAAGGAAACAGCTGTTCAGCAAATCATCCAAAGATGTGACATTTTTAAGAATCTTACTTGGTGACCTAGGGGGGCGAAGAATATTTATATTCTTATCTAAAGGTATGCTGCAGATTATGCATACATTTATTGATTTACAAAAGTGTGAAGTATAACAGTGTAATGCTAATTCATAATTCTAAAATTTTTTCAGATTTTTATTGTGTTCAATTCTCTTTTAATCGAAGACCATCATGTCATTGTGAAAGTTTTTCTATGTGGACACCTGGCTTCTACGCTTTGTACAAAATAAATGCGGTGCAGAAAAGCTCGTACTATAGTATCGTGAATTTTGTTTAGCATAATTTATTCTTGTGTTGGGTTTGAATGGACCCAGTGTTTTCATATACGATGTTTCATATTCAAAAAGTTAGTTCAGTGTTTCATATGTAAAGATGACGAAGTTCATAAAATGTAATTAAATCACAGACTTATTACATTTTATTCTTGAATTTTTGACTCATATAAAGTTACTAATTAAAAACTGCACTAGAAAAGCAGAACTAGTTAAAAGACAACTTCAGT